TGAACTAGCTACAGCTTGAATACTCAGTAGCTATGAGTGGCCAGTGGCTGCCATATTGGACAGGGCAGATAGAGACCATTTTCATTATTGCAGAAAGTTCTGTTGGACAGTGGTTTAACTGATCCCCTAAAGCTGGACACCTAGTTTGTCTCCAGTTCTCATGCAACTTGGGGATGATGGGCCCATTCCTGGAATACAGCAGAGCTGGGTGAAAGCTGCACTGGGCGTTCTGGGCCTTCAACCTCAGACCTTGCAACCTGGGAGGCTCCTGAAAGAGGAAGGCTTTTGGATTTGGGGCAGAGACTTGACCAGGGTCTGGAAGAGAGAGTGGCCCTAAAGAGCAGGCCTCCTCAGAGGTTGCAGTGACCCGAGATCACGCCACTGCACTCCAGCCTGGGTGACAGAGCGAGACTCTGTCTCAAAAAAAAAAAAAAAAAAAAAAGAAAAGAAAAGAAAAGAAAAGAAAAAAAGAGCAGGCCTCCTGCTCAAACCTCAAACCTAACCCCTCCCTCCGGGCCTGCCAAAATGCAGCTCTGTCTCTTTCACTCAATATTTAGCAGATACTCCTTGAGTAACTCCCAAGGATGTTGTCAAGTCCTTCACTGGGGATGTAGGTATGAGAAAGACACAGTCCCTGACTTGGAGAAACCCGCGGCCCAAAGAAAAAGACATATAATCACCTGCTCTGTGACCAGGAATTTTAAAGAGTCATCACCTAAGATCAAAAGGCCTGAGAGGCCAGGTATGGTGGCTCACGCCTGTAAGCCCAGCACTTTGGGAGGCTGAGGCGGGCAGATCATGAGGTCAGGAGATCGAGACCATCCTGGCTAACACAGTGAAACCCCGTGTCTACTAAAAATACAAAAAAAAAAAAAAAAAATTAGCCAGGCGTGGTGGCGGGTGCCTGTAGTCCCAGCTACTCAGGAGGCTGAGGCAGGAGAATGGCATGAACCCGGGAGGCGGAGCTTGCAGTGAGCTGAGCTCGCACCACTGCAATCCAGCCTGGGCGACACAGTGAGACTCTGTCTCAAAAAAAAAAAAAAAAGACCTGATAATAACCTGTTTGTGAGGATTTGGGGAAACAGGTGATCTCATTTGTTGTTGGGGGTTGTAAATTGGTACAAAATTTTTGGAGGGCAATTCTGTGAAAACCTATAAAACATTTAAGAGCACATAATCTTTGACCCAGAATTGTCATACTTATAAATTTATTTTACACACACATATGTCTACGAATATATGTACTAAGATATTTCCTGCAATTAGCATTGTTTGTAGTAATAAAAGGCGGACACACATAAATATCCACTAGGAGGGGAATGGTGAGTAAATTGTGACACACCATATGATGGAAAACTATGTTGACTATCTACAGGCAGGTATATTATTACATGAAAATAGCAGGTGCTGAACAGTGTAGAGTGTGTGCTATCATTTGTGTCACACACACACGCACACACACACAGCATATGCTCCAAATATCTCTGCAAAGACACATTAGAACTGTTAAGAGGCTGGGTGCAGTGGCTCACACCTGTAATCCCAGCACTTTGGGAGGCTGAGGCAGGTGGATCACTTGAGGTCAGGAGTTCAATACCAGCCTGGCCAACATGATGAAACCCCGTCTGTACTAAAAATACAAAAATTAGCTGGACGTGGTGGCGCGCGCACCTGTAGTCCCAGCTACTCAGGAGGCTGAGGCAGAAGAATTGCTTGAACCCCGGAGGCAGAGGTCGCAGTGAACTGAGATCATGCCACTGCACTTCAGCCTAGGCAACAGAGTGAGAATCCATTTCCAAAAAAAAAAACCAAAAAAAAAACAGACAAACTGTTAAGAGTGGTTGCCCCTGGGGAGGAAATGGGCAACAGGGAGGCTGACTGGCAAGAGACTTTTCTTTTCCTTTCTTTTCCTTTCTTTCTCTTCCTTTCTCTCATCCTTTCTGTCTTTTCTTTCTTATAGAGTCTTGCTCTGTTGCCCAGGCTAGAGCGCAGTGGCGCGATCTTGGCTCACGGCAACCTCTGCCTCCCAGGTTCAAGTGATTCTCCTGCCTCAACCTCCCAAGTACCCGGGATTACAGGCACCTGCCACTACGCCCAGCTAATTTTTGTATTTTTATTAGAGATGGGGTTTCACCATGTTGGCCAGGCTGGTCTCAAACTCCTGACCTCAAATGATCCACCCACCTTAACCTCCCAGAGTGTTGAGATTACAGGGGTGAGCCATCACACTTGGCCAGGAGAGACTTTACTTTCTTTGCACATGCTTTTGTACTTTGTTTCTCTTTTGAACTGTGTAATAACCTTTTTCCTTTTTTTTTTTTTTTTTTTTTTTTGAGGCAGGGTCTCGCTCTGTTGCCCAGGCTGGAGTGGAGTGTAGTGATGCGATCTTGGCTCACTGCAGCCTTGACCTCCCAGGCTCAAACAATCCCCCCACCTTAGCCTCCTGAGTAGCTGGGACTACAGGTGCTCACTATCATGCTCAGCTGTTTTTTTTATTTTTTGTATTTTTTGTGGAGATGGGGTCTCACCAAGTTGCTCAGGCTGGTCTTGAACTCCCGGGTTTTAGCAATCTTTCCTCCTCAGCCTCCCAAAGTGCTGGGATTACAGGTGTGAGCCACTGTGCCTGGCCCCTTTTTCCTTTTTTTTTTTTTTCCCCCTGGAGAGGGAGTCTTGCTCTGTCGCCCAGGTGCGAGTGCAATGGCGCCATCTCGGCTCACTGCAACCTCCGCCTCCTGGGTTCAAGCGATTCTCCTGCCTCAGCCTCCTGAGTAGCTAGGATTACAGGCACGCGTCACCACACCCGGCTAATTTTTTGTATTTTTAGTACAGATGGGGTTTCACCATATTGGCCACGCTGGTCTCAAACCCCTGACCTCATGATCTGCCCGCCTCCGCCTCCCAAAGTGCTAGGATTATAGGCGTGAGCCACCGCGCCCGGCCCCTTTTTCCCTTTTTTTTTTTTTTTTTTTTTTTTTTTTT